AGCCACTGTGGGAATCAGTGTGGAGGTTCCTTTAAAAACTGGGACTAGAGGTCCCATTTGACCATCATACTACAGTGATATATGCGCACCCATGTTCATAGCAGCACAGTATGTAGTAACCAAATCTTGGAAACAGCCTATATGCCGTCAACCAAAGCATGAAAGAAGATGCGGGGGTTTTTTAGAATTGGATAGTACTCTGCCGTAAAGGACAAGTTCAAGACATTTCTAGGTAAATGGATGCTTGAGACCATACTCTTCAGTGAAAAAATCAAACAGGTGTTTAAATACCATACTGTTTCTCTGGTGTGAGAAACCAAAAGTGTAAATATGGACCAAAATATATAATAGATATTGAGAAATAGGAAATGTTCAAACAGGAAGAAAATATTCAAATGAGAAGGGAAACGGGGAGGAGGGAGAAGGAAGGAAGAAGGAAAAAGAAAAAAGAAAGAAAACATAGAAATACTTTTGTAAATAAGGAGGGGGAGGAGAGGGGAACAGCAGCGGCAGCAGGGTGTGTCTCGTCTCGTACAGGTACAAATCGCTGTGGTGAACGTGACCATCAGGTTATCTAAAGTGTACCAATAAAAATTACAACGTTTATGTTTAAAAAGTTTAGAAAGGAAAGAGCAGTTAACGCCTGGCTGTTAGCACTGAAAAGCCCCAAACACCAGCTGCCAATGAAAGGCCGCCGCAGAGCCCAGTGCCCTGAGAGTGGGCCTGCAGTGTCCAGCGCCAGCGGCATGGGAGGTCCCTGCCGGTGTGGCTGTGTCGGTGCTCGGCACTGGTGCTCCTGGTGACACAGGATTCCAGCAGATCTGCACTTTGCTGATCCATGGTTTCCACATGAGTCAAGCAGAACCCAGGCTGATGACCACACTGCAGATCCCAAGACCCCGCTGCTGCAACTGTGCCTGCCCCAGCCCCACGCTGAGACTGTTGTGAAGGAATCAGGGCCCCAGGACCCCCTTTCCCCAGAGCCTGGGCCCCAAAGCCCTTGCTTCTTGCATTTTCTGAGAGTCCAGCCCACGGCGCAGGGGCTCCAGCTCCACAGGCCAGGAGCCCAGAGAGGCCAGGCTGAGTAGGGAGCCACTGCCTGTGCAGGAGTCAGAGGGTCTTTGCCTGCAGGACTGCTCTCGGCGTGCACAGGCAGTGGTTACGGCCACCGCTGGGCACAGAATGGAGGTAAAGTCACGAAGCCCCTCCCAGCCTGCCCACGTGCTGGACCTTGCCCACTGACTATCATCCAGGAGATGCTGGCAAGCAAGTTGCACCACACTGTCTTAAGCCAGAAGAGGGCATTCATCCACACAGACAGCTTCAGGTGCAGCTCGATCCAGAGCTCAATCTGTGTTTTAGGGCAAAGGGGCCCCATTGTCACTAAGAATCCCCCACTGTCAGTCCATGGGCTTCCACAACACTTGCCCTTCCTTGCACTCAGACACCACCAGGGCCTTGGGAACCAGGTACCTGGCCTTGAGTAGTGTGGGAAGGGACTCTGCTTTCTGCCAGAGAGGGCCTGTGACAGGGTCACCTCAGGCCCCAGGGTCATGGCTTGGCTTGGGAGAGCTGTGAGGCAGTGTAGAAGAGATGACTCCCCAGGTCAGCATCCCATTCCAGACAGGAAACTGAGGCGCATGGTGGCAAAGAGATGGGATGCCGGCATGAGTCCAGGTCCCTGAGCTGTAGCTGCACCCCATCTTCCCCCAAGAGTAAAGAACCGTGGCCCCAGTAGGCTGAGACACAGCCCTACCCCCACTGCACACTGCCCTATGCCAGGCCTGGCCACAGCGAACAGGAAGGAGATGCCTCAGGGTGGAAGGTGGGCACCCATGGGCTGCTCCTGCCTGCAGCTATCCAAACAGCTCTGCCAGCTCTGCTCCACAAGCCAGGAGCCCAGTGAGGCCAAGCTGGATGGACTGGCAGGGTCAGGAAGAGACCACAGGCTCCACTGGGCAGAGGAACAGGAGTAGGGAGAGCTGCAGGTACAGGGGAGAGGGGCTCCGTTCCTGGGCTGAAGAACCTAAACTTCAAGAAGAGCAACCCTGCAAAAAAAAAAAAAAAGCCGGGGATTTAGCTCAGCGGCATAAGTGCCTGCCTTGCAAGCCTGCAGTCATGAGTTCAATCCCTGGTACCAAAAAAGAAGAAGAAGGGCAACCCTGAACCACACACGCACACATGTAAACCCCAGCTAAAGCCAACCCACATGTGAACATTTCCCAGATCTTCCCAGCAGAACCCCCAGGCTTCTTCCCCTCCACACCAAGAATCAGCACGTTCCATTTGTGAAAGTCCACCCGTCCCCATGTGCACTCATCGCTGTGCCCACCCGTCCCTGAGGCCAACTTTCCCCAGGTCTACCATTCCCCATATCTATCCAGCTGTCTCCACCAATCCTTGAGTCTGTTGTCTGCGGGTCCTTTCCCACCTCCTCCCACCCCTGTGGCTGCTTCCTTCTTCTGATGGATTTGGAGAAGTGCCTGCCATATGCATACGCTGCAGAGATGTGCACACATGCACAGACACACAATATGCATGTGAACACACATGCATGACCTTGAGGAGACTTGAGAAAGTACAGAGGGAGCCCCAGAGAGCACTGCATGCATTGTGTCCCTGAAAGCAAAGTCACAGCTCCCAAGGGAGTGAAGGGGCCAGGCCAAGGCTACTTTCACCCTGAGATCCCAAGGCTAGGTGAAGGCAACAGTCGGTCAAGTGGCCCTGTGCTCATCACAGGGTGGGTGGGGAAGTCCCTCCCATCCCCACCAACTGCCTTCTGCCACTTGTGATGCCAGTGCTGTGCCAGGGGCCATGCCAAGAACAAAGTGTCCTCGCCCCAATCACGTGCAACCTGCACGCTCCTCAGATGATGCTGCCTCCAGGCTGGTCCAACTGGGCCACCTGGTCCCACAGCCATCAGCCAGGACTCAGCTCAGAGCAGGCTCTGGGGACAGCAAGGCCCAGGATCCATCCCTCAAGGCAGGAATGTCAGTCCCAGATGCTCAGAGCTGGGCTCTATAAATTGCAAGCTGAACCTGTGTGTGGCCTCCCGGGCCCCAGTGTAGTCTTGGGGTGACAGTGAGCCAGGAGCCCAGGCAACACCCAGTTGCCACAGAGTTGGTGGATGGGGCCAGGTCAGGTCCGCAGTGCTCAGCTCAAAACTTTACACCTTGGCTCCACGTGCTGACCCGAGAGTGGACTTGGGGGTTGCAGCTGCCCAGGTGCCCACACTACTAGACAACACCCCAGATTCCACTGTGCTGAATGAAACGGCCTCCAGCCCGAGTCCTAACACCAGCTGCATCTTGGGTAACTGGGGCACCTAGACCTGCCGGCCTGTGCTCCCCTCTGAGTCTGCAGGGATAAAATCCACACAACTGCTGCCCTCAGGAGGGACCAGGGCCTGCAGGGCAGTGTCAGTGGAGCAGGGCTGACAAAGCCCCCACCGTGCACACCCATATGTGCACGCACATGTAACAAATACATATGCATGCAAGTGTCCACATGGACCCTGCTCTGAGGCCAGATCAGGTGCTGGCCAAGCAGCCCAGGCTGGGTGACCTCCTGTGACATGGGGTTGTCACTGTGACTTTGAAGACATGCTTGTCCGGGTTTCTACAGGGATAGGAGGGCCTGCCAGAGTGTCAGGGCCATCTGTTAGGGGCAGGCAGCTCAGGGGTGGCAGGGAACAGCTTTTGTTCCCGCCCTGTGCACCAGCCACTGAGCTGTCTGACATCCCCACACCCTGCACCAGTTACCTCGATTAGTCACGGTGCTTCCTCCCTCAGCAGCCAAGAGAAGGGCTACCCACCCCCTCCTGGAAGGGGCTCTGGCCTCTGACCCTGAGAGAGGCTGGGGCAGATGCAGGGTTTGAATGACCCCCCCTGGGGGTCTTGCCTGCATGTGTCTCACTGCCCTGCCAGGCACACACAGAGCCTGGTTGCAGGAACCAGGCCCCCAACTCAGTGGAGTCTGAGATGACTGCTGACCAGCAGGGGCATCCCAGCCCCAGCCGCAGCTCTGAGAGGGAGGTGCCCAGGGGTCCTGGCTGCTCTGGTTCGGGGAGTGGGCTGCTCCACACTTCCCAGTGCTGCTCATTTGTAAACCATGAGCTAGTGTGGGACCATCAGGCCTTCCGGCTTGGGTGGCTGGGTGCTAGGATCAGGGACTCGGGGGACTGTCCAGGTCCCCATGCCAGCTGGCACGTCCCCTCCCTGGGGCCCTTGCCCCGATAGAGCAAGGGTGTGAACATAGCAGGGAAAGAGGAGTTCCCCGCCTGGCCTGATGCCCCAACTGAGAAGGGAGTGGGCATCTCCTTCTGGGCCAGGCTCTCTGGGCCCCAAGTGACAGCCCTCCTCCTTCATGCCCATGGGGGCTCTGTGCCCCAGGCCCCCTCTCAGTGCCCTGTCATCCCTGCCCTGGACCTCACCCCACCAGGTATTGGCTTCATCGAGTGGGCCCAGACTATCAGGCACTTTCTAGGCGGAACTTGTGGGCAGTGGGCCAGAACCAGGTTGGCCTCCACCTGTCTGAAGGCCCTGCTGCCCAGTGCGCACAGAAAGCATTACTCTGATGTCCTGACAGTCCTCAAACAGACATCAGCCCAACATCAGTCCTTCCAGAATCATAGCCAGGTTACCATGGCAATGTCTATTATCCCTGCTGAACAGGACATGAATCAGGAGCTAAAAATAGCCTACCGGATGGATGCACGGGTGGGCCTGGACTCAGGGTCAGCACAGTGCTGTTCTCAGATGAGTGGATGCAGGGGAATCTGTTAGGTCCCCACCCCCAGGGCTTCCAATGGCAGGAGTGTCTCAGGTCCAAAAAGCGCTGTGTGCAGGCTGAGGTCCCTCAGACTCATCAGGTCCCAGCCACTGGGCATACCTAGTGGGTGAGGGCCCAGCAGGTGGCTCCCAGTGCCCTCACATCCACCCTGCCTGTCTCGGTGCCCTACCCCTTGCGCTCCTCTGTGGCAGTGAAGGCCCAGACACCTGCAGAGTGGAAATCACTTTATTACGTGGAAGCTCCATGCACAGAGGGAGCCCAGAGGACTTGGACGCTGAGGAGCAGGCTGAGGAAGGTGGGGGTGGGGCGGGGACTCCTTCAGAGGCCCCGGAGGTCTTCACCCATCTCCTGCCCTGGGGTCCCAGCCGCTGACCCGGCCAGTAGGAATGCAAGAGGGAACATGGACCGGAGGACAGGTAGCCTCTGGGGGTGTTGGGGGCCAAAGAGACCAGAGAGCTGTAGCAGGAGTTCAGGTGACAGCTGGGTCCTCATGGGGCTGTGCTGGGCCCAGCCTCTCCTGTCTGAGCGCCAAGGCTGCGTGGGGGCAGCTCCTTGTGGCTATAATACTCGACCACCTGCTGGGGCACCTCAGCCAGCACGCACTTGGCCAGTGCCCCGGGGGACGCCTGAGAGGGAAGCAAGCATCACCCTTAGCAAGGTCCTGTCCTCTCTGGGCCGCAGCCAGGGGTTCAAGTTGGTTCCTGGGACTACGGGGCGACCTGGGGGCCACTCAAGTCCCTGGCAAACTAAAGCCTCTGCTCAGGGCCCCCACCCCTTTTTGCCCTCTAAACTCAGTGGGCCAAGTCACCCAGCATGCCATGTGACCTCCTCATGACATGCGTCCACTAGGAGTCACAGGGGCTTCAGAGAGCTGGAGAGCACTGGCCTGTGGTCCCGGCCCTCCTGGCTGCTCACACAGGGCACCCTGAGCCCTGAGCCTGGCACTGTGTGGGACAGGACCGTGCACCACAGGAGAGTGTGGTGAAACCCACACTCACATTCTTGAGCTCGCGGAAGGGCACAAACTGCACAATGTCTCGGAGCGCAGGCTCGCCACGGGGAGAGCGCAGGACGCCATCATCACCATCCAGGACCTGCATGTCTGTGAAGTCTGCGTTGCCCACACCCACGATGATGATGGACATTGGCAGGTGGGACGCCCGCACGATGGCCTCCCGTGTGTCTGCCATGTCAGTTACCACACCATCCGTCAGGATCAGCAGGATGTAGTATTGCTGGGGACAGAGCAGCCCATGGGGCCCAGGCCCTGGCGCCCCCAGCCCACCAAGGCTTCCACAGGGTCCACAGCAGACCAGCCAACCCCCTCCTAACAACATAGCACTAAAGTGAGCCAGGCTGCAGGGGCTCATGTTCCTGCACCACCCCAGATGCCCGAAACCCAGCTTTCACTCATGAGCCCAGGGCTGGGGTGGAAGGCAGCCTCTTCTGGTCCCTAGTCCCTGCTGTGGAGAAGGCAGAGCTGCATTAACTGCAAATAAAAATCCATTTCCATGGGTGGTGCCTGCCCATAATCCTACAACTTGGGAAGCTAAGGCAGGAGGATCACAGGGAATTGCAGTCAACCTGGGCTACACAATAAGACCTTACCTCAAAAAACAGCACAGGACAAATGAAAAAGCCCAGACTACCCACAACCTTACTAAACTTGGGCAATAGAAATCATAGAAAAGATAGCAGAGCTGCCTTAGGCTCTGGCCTAGCAGTTGTACTGTGTGCCAGGCTTTGTCTCAGCAGAGGGGGCACCAGCAATGGCAGTGTCTGTGCAGGAAAGGAAGGACAGACAAGCCACCCACCGGCTCTGCCCGCCAGCCCAGACCCAGGTAGCCACCTCCTCCAGGCCCCGTGCCTCATCCAGTGGGTGAACTCTGGTAGGCAGCTTCCCGGGCATCTGGGACACCAGGAAGCCCTGGCACCATCCGATTCCAACTGCAGGACAGCTAAGGAGATGTGGCATGGGTGCTGGCGGGGTGACAGCAGGGTACTTGCTGTGGTGCTCGGCCCTGCTGCAAGAGGAACAGCCCATGGCGACTGTGGATGCATCCACAAGGGATCTGCAGCAGACCCCTTGGGGACATGCAGGAACATGGACCCCATGCCTAGCCCCCGCTGTGTGATCACAACAGGGACTGAGCCACGCTGTGGGTGTCAGGCTTGGGGGCAGGGCACCTGCTGGCTGTGCACAAGGTCCTCTTCCATTCCCAGCAACGAAAGTAAAATAAAAAACCATCCTGAGCCCAGCGCCTGCACCCTGCTTATCAGAAAATGTCTGTCCTGGATGTCTAGCTGCCCCCAGCCTCATGCGGCCATGAGTCTGGCTTTCTAGAGGCGGCTGGATCCAGGGCGTGTGAGGCTGGCATCGTGGACACGATGCTGGGAGTAAAGGAGCAAGAGCTCACCAGCCTGGGGGTGGCAGCCTGGGCAGGGGATAAGGGACAGGAGGAGCGTCACTGCCTCCTGCTGCCCTGCAGCTTTCTGCCTGCCCTGCTTTGCTAGACTGTTCCTCCTCTGCCACACCTCCCTGCCTTGGAGCCAGCTACGGACTGAAACCTCTGCAAACTGTGAGCCAAATAAACCTTGTTTGGTAGCACTGTCAGGTATTTTGTCTCAACAATGCAAAAGTAGGACAACGTCCTTAAGCTCAGGCTGCAGGTGAAGTCAAGGGCCCCACTCTCTCCAGAAGCCTTAAACATATATATGGTACTAGGAAGAAAAAAAGCATTGCTCGATCATTAGCACAACACATTTACATAAATTAAAATACCTAAAGAAATAAATACAGGGTTTTGCTTTGGAGTGAGAGGAAAGTTCTGAAACTAGAGGTGTCTGCAGGACAGGGAGGAAGCTCTCAAGCACTGAGCTGTATCCTCAAAGCTTTCTGCTCTATTTCCAGACAGGGTCTTGTGTGTTGACCACACTGGACTCAGACTTCACCTTCCTGCTCAGTCTCCTGAGTAGCTGGGATTATAGGTGTGTGCCACCTTGGCCGGCTGCAAGTGCACATTTCTTTCCAGTTTAGTGGGCGATTGAACCCCAAGCCCATGTACTAAGAGATATCCCAGCCCTTTTTTATTTTTTGAGACAGGGTCCGGCTAAGCTGCTACTTGCCCAGACTGGGTTAAATTTGTGATCCTCCCGCCTCAGCTTCTCAGAGCACTGGGGTTACAGGTGTGTGCCACCACAGCAGGCTGTAAATTTTAAACCATGTGCATTTTAGCACAACAACAAATAATGTATATAGTCAAATCAAATGTTAAAAGATATAAACAGTCTCACAGGGGTGCAAAGAATTGTAACATAAAACACCACTGGTGCCCTGGGTAAGGACATATTAGAGTCTTTGCACCAGCTTCTTTTCTGTGGTCTGAAACATGTGAAGGTAGGAAAAATGAAAATTTCTGAACTCAGGAAGGAGCAGGTAGAGAGGCTGGCTGTGATGGCACTGTCCCGGCCGCCCCGTGAGTGGTAGTTTGTGCAGAGGGAAAATTCAGGAGACAGCAGCAAGCAGCATGGCCTGCACAGCCATGGGATGGGTGCAGAGACCCATGGACAGGGTCTTGGGTACCAAGGACAGACACACAGGACAGTGGTGCCAGGCACAGCAGCCAGGGCCCTCGGGGCCCTGGGGTGGGGACAGGAGAGTGGACCATGTGGTGATGGCAGAGCCCCCTCTGGCCTGTCGAACCCCCAAGTCTGTGCCCTGCCCACCCTGTCAAGCCGACCACCCCCAGCACCCAAGAACCTACAGAGGCCTCCCCGGTGTGCTCCTCAGCCGCAGCCATGCGGGCCACCTTGGAGATGATGGGTGCCACGTTGGTGGGGCCGTAGAGCTGGACACGGGGCAGGCAGTTCTGGTAGGCCTCCACTACACCCTGGATCCCTGCGGGTGGCAGGGGTAAGCCGGGCCCTGTGCACCCACCCAAGGCCCTGCCCGGTTCCCACCTTCACACTCATCGTCCTCAGGGTTGAAGTTGATGGCGAAGTCATGGGACACCTGGATGGGACCAGAGGGACCTGTGATGCCCCTGGTGGACTGGTAGCAGCTGCCCAAAGGAGGAGCTCCAGGAAGGGAAGCCAGAGCGGCAGAGGAGCACCTGAATCCAGTCATTCTCTGCTGGTAGCTAGTACGCATCCACCCACCGGGTATCCTCTGTGTCCTCCACAGAGACACAGGGTGCCTCCCACCCCCGATCCCAAGACATCCAGCTGGTGGGGTGTCTCCCCATCCCCGTTCCCACAAGGAAGGGCCCCTGGACCCTAGGTCTGGCCCTGGGCTCTCCTACCTCATAGTTGGGAGGGATCCGGGCCCCAAACCCCAAGGCAGAAAACCTCTTGTCACTGGAAGAGAGGTGGCACCAGTCACTCAGGGAACCCTGGTCTCTCCCAGGAGAGGGTGGGCAGGAAACCTGACCTAGGAACCATGGCCATGCCACACGGGAAAAATTGAGGCACCAACCCAAAAGACACTGGCCTTGCATATAGCAGGGAGGGTGAAGCTGTTGAATGGGTCTGGCACCAAGACAGCCCCTTCCCAGTCCACACTCCTCATGGGCCTCTGGGAGCCCCTGGGGCTGAGGTGAGGGGTTGTGGTGATGCTTGCTGAGTACTCTGGAGAGCTTAAAGCCACCCTCAGCCTGCCAGCCAGTGAGTGGGCACAGTTACACCTGGTCTCCATGCCACACACACACACTCCCATCAGCCCTGCCACCGAGTGGGCACCATCACCTGTCATAGTCCTGGCAGACCTCGCCCACCGCCACCAGCGCCCGCAGATACTCGTTCGGCTGGTAGGGGTTGATATGATGCAGGGAGCAGCTGTTCCGGGGGTCGCCATTGGAGGCCGTGAAGTCGATGGCCACCTGCAGGGGACCAGGGCTGGGGCCACCCCACTCAGCAGCCTGGCAGCTGCCCCTGGAGGATGCCTGCACTGCCCTGGGCCACACTCTGTCAGCCCCACCAGCCCAGTCTGCTGCACCTGACATCCAGGGACCTGTCAGGCTCCACCTGTGCTGCCTGTGCCCTGGAATCCTGTGCCTGCTCATTTTTCCTCAGGTTTTGGTGGCCACTGTCTCTGCCCTGACAGTGTCACCTCCCGGAGCCCCGCTGGTTCCTGACCCCCTCCCCTTTCCCGCTGCACCAGCATAAGGAGCCCTCGGGGATGGGGGTGCTGCCAGCCCTCCCTCCGGCTTGGGGCTTCAGGTCCCTGCTGGGCCACATGACGAGGGTCGGGGCAGCACTCACAGTGCAGTGGATCTGGCAGCCACCCATGATGTAGTCCAGGAAGGAATGGACCCTGTGGAGCTTCCAGGCAGGGGCGTGGGCAAGGCTTCCCAGAGCCCTTCGCCCGCGTGCCCTTTCCCCCGCTACCCCTCCCCCTCGACTTCGTACCCCTTGAGGGCCCCCAGGCCTCTGGCGGAGCCTGAGGTCCATGGGGGGCTGGGCCTCACCTTCAGGTCTGCCAGGACCACCACCCCCGAGTTGCTGTAGTTGCGCTTCTTTTGCTGGTACTTGGGGTTCACACAGTCCCACTGTGCCTGGGATAGGTGGGCATGACGTCACCCAGTGGCAGCAGCCAACACCTCCCAGTGGCCCAGAGGTCTCAGCCCTGCAGTGCCCTGCACCACAGGGTCACCACTGCTGGACTATGGTCACCCAAGGGCTGGGGCACCTGCGCCCTCTGGGCTGGCCCAGGCCAGGGTCAGGGGTAGTGGACAAGAGGGAGTCCTGGTGCCTGGTGATGGGCAATGCAGGTCTGGCATGGTAATGGTGGTGCCATCACCATTGCCATGGCAGCCACATCTCCTCTGGTGCAACCGTGGTGCTGCTTTCCCTCTGCCCAGAGCCAAGACCCCAGAGGGCACAGTGCCCCACTTACCTGGCCCTGGGCAAAGGCCGCCTGCATCTCCGCGAAGGTGGTAGAGAAGGCACCAATGAAGTCATGCTTCCCACGGGCGTCATGGTCCCAGACCAGGCCCTGGTGGGTTGAGGTGCTGGCTCAGCCACACTGCAAAGTCCTTCCCACTCTGACCCCATGGAGACCCTGAGGAACACACCTTCAAAGGTCGGGTCTCCTCACAGCTGCACAGGGAGCTCAGGGACAGTTTGAAGGGCTCCCAGACGGGGCTGAGATTGTTCTTCACCACCTGGGGCAAGGGCAGGGCTCAGCCAGCACCCAGGTCCCAGGGACCTGGAGGCTGTGATTTGCCTCAGCTCTGCAGAGAAGGGCTGGGAGCAGATCCAAATGCCACACCCTCGGAAACCATCCTCCTAACTTGTCCCTACTCCCAGACCACCTGGACCCCTTTCCTCCTTAAATAGACTCTTTCCACTTAAATTAAACCTTCTCAAAAGGGAACATGGTCTCCCTGCTGTAACTGAAATCCACCATCCCTGCCGAACGTAGAAGGTAGCCCTAAAAACATCCATAGCAACACCGCCCCACCCTGCAGGCTTCCAGCCGCAGCCCAGAGCCCCGAGCCCACACGGCCGCCTGCCAGGCTGCAGGGTCTGTGGGCCAGGCCCCAAGTGGGCTCAGCACCTCAGTGCGGTACACCAGCTGCTCACTGCCATCCTCGTTGGTCCGGAACAGCTCCAGGAAGGGGTCTGACTTGCTGAAGAGGTCCTGGGGGCAGAGAGCACTGGGCAGGGCATGGGGGCTCTGACCCCTCTCCGAGTACCGAGGCCTCGCTCTATCCCCATAAGCTCTCCCGCCCCTCTCCAGCTGGGCCACTGGCTACTGTCACTCACCCTGCTGCTTGTGTCCGGCCCACTGTCCCCAGTAGCCCTGGGCACCCTGGCCGGGAGAGTGTCAGCTGGAGACACCCCTACCCACGTGAGGTGCCTGGTGCTAGATTCAGGTCTGGGCTACTTGTGCCTGGTCCCCACCACCAGGCAGTGTGCCAGTCACACTTCCTTGCGGTGGCAGTGATGACGGAGACGACGGTGCCTGGACCACTGCTGTCTCAGTAGTCATTCTTCAGCTCCACACAGGGCATCCCGTGTGTCCCCACCCAGTGTGCTGTAGACCACACTTGGGGCTCAGGCAGAACTTGGGGTCCCAAACCCAGCCAGGCAGCCTCACCTTGTCGTCCAGGTTCCTGGCCTGGAAGCAGAGTTCCACATAGCCATTGTTCCCAGAGATGTCCTCAGCGATCACCTAGTGGAGAGGCCACTGCCAGGGCCGCTCAGCCTCACCCACTCCCACTGCCTGCCCAGGCCCTAGGGGCCCACTGGAGAGGCGTGGGGCAGTGCTCACCGTGATGGTGGACTTGCCAGCCTTCCGGCCCAGCTTCAGCAGCAGTGGGCGAGTTATCCTCTTCTGAGCCACGATCTGAAAGACAGAGGCCAGGCAGCAATGGGGCAGGGCTGCCCGGCCTGGGGACCACAACTGTCCCACAGCACCTACCTTGTGAGTCCCCATCAGCAGGGGACTTGTGCCATCTAACAGGCGGCAGCACTGGCACCACTGTGGGCACACACAGGCCATGCATCAGTGTTTCCAGCCTGACATCCCGCCAGGGTCTAGGTAAGACCCAGAGGGGCAGCTGGTTCTGGCCCCCCCACTGCCCTCCACAAGACAGACAGAGGGTGACTTCGAGGCTCCATCCTCGAAGCCCCAGGGGTCAGGGATCTCTCAGCACAGACTGGGGATGCAGTGTCTCAGTAAAGTTTGCTGGCCATGCCGCTGGTGACCAGAGCCCACAAAGATGCGTGTCCATTTGTGTGTTCTCACACGGGGTCCCTGTGTATCTGCATGTGCACATGCGTGTCCTGCCTGGCTGGCATGCAGGTATGGGTGCCACATGTGCACCCACCCACTTGCAGCCGGGTTTGGCCCTTATATGGCCTCCCTTGCTGAAGCCCCTTTGTCTGTAAAATGGGGACGGCACCAAGCGGGCAGAAAGGATGAGTCACACATGGAAGGGGAACAAGGGGAGGCAGACACTGGAGAGGACGTCGGTGTGATTCACGGACACGAGACTCAGAACACAGCAAAGGCAACAGCTCATGGAGCTGGACACAGTCAGGGTGCATAGCCTTCCACACTCATAGCCCAGGCTGCAGGCCACACTGCGCAAAAGAGTCCTTGACCAAGAAGGAAGGCGTCTGGGGTGACAGCACAGGAGGTCGGTGGGGACAGCAAGTGCAGTCCTCAGATGCCCCCACATCCAGCCTTAGCCAAGCAGGAAGATCCGGGTGGGCTCTGCTGTTTGTGGTTTGCATGGCCCGGGCTCTCCTGGCTCTGCCCTGTGCTGGCCTGGGCCATGGAAGGGAGCAGCAGGAGCAAAGGGCAGACTGCAGGAGTGTGTCTACACTCCTGTGCACTCCACACTCCTGTACACTACACACAGTGCAGTCCGTCTACGTCCCAGGTCCTGGGCACAGGACCACAAGCTTCACTCTGAGCTGCAGCACCAATCCTTCTTTGAAATTCTGAGACAAGGTCTCACTAAATTGCCCAGGATGTGTTTGAACTTGCAAAGATCCTGTCTCAGCCACCTGAGTAGCAGGGATTACAGAGGTCCACTATCATGGCTGGCTGACTTTGACTTTTACAAGCAAAAAAAAAAAACCAGAATATTTACTTCAGTGAAAGTGTCTGAAAGAATTTGCCAGGACCCAGCAACAGGCTGCACAGGGCAGGAGAATTTGTCCCTCGCCTCTTACATCTGGAAATGTACAAATGTATTACCTGACTAGCAAGTATATTTTAAAACACTAACAAGGAAAGCCAAGCATAGTGGCTCATGTCTGTAATTCCAGCTACTGTAGGTCAGAGGTAGGAGAATTTCAAGGTCAAGGCCAGCCTGGACACCTCGGCAACTGTCAACATCCCTGCAAGCGACCAACACACAGAAGTTGGGGGGCTTCTGTGAGGGGAGCCGTGGAGTTGGCAGGGCCAGGCACTCACCCCCAGGGTCCCGGCAGTGCCCACCTGCCCCAAGGTGCACTCCATGCCCCCCAGGAAGTCGTCCTCGTCACAAGCCAGGCCATCGGGCCCGTGGGTGTCATACACCTCGAAGCGCAGCCGCTGTACCTCCTCGAAGTAATAGTCCACAGTGAAGACCTTGGAGAAGACGGGGTTCAGGCTGCTCCGCACCACCTCAGTTCTGCCCACCTGTAGGCAGCACCTGTGAGCCATGGAAGGGGCCTCCAGCCTCCCCGGGGTCACCTCCAAACAGCAGCACATGGCACTGACCATGCCTGCAGTAGCTCAGCACCTCTCCCACTCATTTGGTCCTGTTACAGACAGGGAAACTGAGGCAGCATAGAATAGGGTCTCAGCCCTGGCTGTGCAGCCCCAAAGTGAAGGCCACTTCCCAGCTCCCAGCTGGGCAAGGAGTGGGTGGAATGCGCCTACTCCCTTGAGGCTCCATCCTGGGGACCCCCAGAGACCCACAGACTTCTGCATCTTTTTTTTTTTTTTTTTTTGTCTTTTTCCTTTTTATCGGTACCAGGGATCGAACTCACGACTGCCTGCTTGCAAGGCAGGCACTTAAGCCACTGAGCTAAATCCCCAGCCCCAGACTTCTGCATCTTAATCCAGGAGTCTGCAGGGGTGCTAGGGGTATCTGCCCCAGGAGATGCTGGGGTCAGCTGCATGGAAGTTCCTAGAAGCAGAAACCCCCTGCAGGGAACCCGGCTGACCGCCCCCACCCAGGTTGGTCCCCAGGCTCCCTGACTGCCCTGACACTGCAGGGAGGGGACCTAGCCTGGGGGAAGCACTAGCCCCAAGGCCAGGCTCCCTCCCACTGCCGCCTGGAGGAGGGGCTGCTCCGTGGCTCTCCTGTTCCTGGCCCACCATCCACGGCTCTGGAGGACAGGGGCACCCGGTACTGTAGCAAGGAAGCCCCACTCTGGCAGACACCTGGCCGTCTGGCCCCAGGGCATCCAGGGCAGAGCCCAGAACCGGTCCCCACCTGCACCCGTGCCCAACCCCAGCCCTTACTGCACTGTGTGAGCACGTCTCCTGGCTCCTGGCTCCCAGGGCACCGAGCGTCCCAGCATCCCGGTCCATCCCAGCTGCCCCAGCCCTACCGCTACTCCGTCCATGCCCCGTCCCCATCCCTGTTCCTGTCCCCAACCCAGTCCCAGTGCTGTCCCCATGCCTCTACCAGCCCCTGTCCAGTCCCTGTACCTGTGCCCACCTGTGCCCACCGGCCCTGCGTCACCGGCTGCAGCAGCAGCACGCTAGGATCCGACTTGGTCAGCGGGTCGCGGTCCAGCAGGTGTCGGCAGCTGAGCCGCAGCTCCACTTTCGCCACCGCGGGGCCCGCAGCCCTGCGCCCTGCGCCCGCGCTCATGCTGCCGCCGCCAGGAAATGGAGACGCCTGTGTAGACACGTGCCGTGCCGGGGATGCCGAGGGGACTGGGGTGGTACGGTGGGGGGTGGAGGGGACTAAAGGGGTGGGGACGGAAGGAAGGGAGGGGGCGGGGCGGGGCGGGGCGGGGCTCACGCGGAAGGTCCACTCTGGTCCGGCCAGGTGGGCGGCAGGTTCAGCCTCCTCCTGGGGGCCCTTGGAGCATCCCGGAGAAGGGCTGAGATGGAAGCAGACGTCAGACACCCAGGGGCCCCGGGGCCACCGGGCGCTGTCCCCGGACATGACTGCCTGCCACCTCGAGAACCACCCTCAGCCCCGCCACTGGTAGTAGGTGGAGCTGGACAACCACCCCTTCCCACCCCGCCACGACCCCTGACCCCTGGACCAAGTCACCCAGGGAGCTGAGGGACACAAGACTGAACCCCAGGCAGCCCCTCAGCCCTCAGCCTGAAGTGTCAAGGCCCTCCCACTGGAGGAGAGAGGGAAGCCAAAAAGAACCAGGTGTGGTGGTGCATGCCTGTAATCCCAGCACTTTGGGAGTCTGGGCAGGAGAATCACAAATCCAGGGCCAGCCCAGGCAACCTAGCCATTTAGTGAGGCCTTGTCTCTAAATAAAAACATAAAAAAGGACTCAGAATAGAGTTCAGTGCTGACCACAGAGTTCAATCCCCAGGACCAAAATAACCCAAAGCGAGGAGAGTCAACCAGCTGAGAAATTCAAGTCTCTGCGTCAGGGTCTGACACACATGCTGGGCTCCAGTCACAGACCCTGGACTCAACCGCCACCACTGCCACCATCACAAGGCTCCAGCTGGAGACCACAGGAGACCCAGCAGTTCCCTGCAGCTGTCTGGCCTGAGGTACCCAGGACACCTCACTGCCCAGCCTGCAGTGGCCAGGCGGGGGCCAAGCCTGGGGTCAACTCTGTGCGCTCCCGTCCCCAAGCTGTGCTGCCCAGCTAGACAAACAAAATGAGATCTGTCGGCATGTATGCTCTGTTTTTGTGGTACAGGAAGTGATAACACACGATAGTGCTGAAATGTTAGAAACCAACGCTAAGCAGGTGATCCCAGCCCGGACACCAGCACTCCTATGTTTGTCCCTCCAAGTTTTCCTTACAAACAGGTCCCAGGTCGCTGAGGTGAGGGACAGCTTCCTGTCTCAGTGCTGGGATTCCCAGGTATCATTTGAAGCCCCAAAGGGCTTCCCTGGTGTTCAGCAGGCCAGACCCACTGGCCCACATCCTGGTCAGCCAGGTCTTTCTGCCCGAGTCATTGGCTTGGAATGAGGACACATCTTTGCCTGTGCTCTGTGCACCTGTTGGCACTCAGCTCAGCGAACTTGCTTTTTTTACGCCACTGTGCCTCTGCGTGCATGGCTCCTCCTGCTGGCCAACTCCAGTGTGGCCTTCAAAACCCAGCCCACTGTGATCTGGGCCCAGGCCTCTAAGATACGCACTGTCCCTGCCTTGGGCACCACTTGCCCAGAATTTGAGCCAAGGCCAGGATGCCTGCCAGCCAGTGTGGGATGCAGCAGATGCTGGACAATTCCACCCTGTTCAGTGCTGCTGTCCAGCCTGCAAGCCAACCTGCAAGGTTTGCTGGGGATGAGCAGAAGGCTCCCAACCCTAACCACGGCCTGGGATACAAGCCAGAAGTGCAGGCATCTGGTGCCTGCATCCTACACCACCATGCCCAGCCCAATCCTTTTAATTTTCACTTTGAGACAAGGGGTCACTAAATTTCCCAAACTGGACTTTGGGATTCTCCAGCCTAATCTCCCACAGTATAGTTGAGTAGCACAGTACCTGCCTGGCAAATGCAAGATCCCGAGTTCAATTCCCAGTACCAAAAAAAAAAAAGAGTAATTGGACCAGTGATACAACTCAGAGGCATAGTGCCTTCCTGGCAAGCACAAGGTCCTGAGTTCAATTCCTGGTACCAAAAATCTGTTTTAATTTTTAAAAGTGGGGATAGTGAGCCTACCCACATCTGTTGGCAATGTTTTTTTGTGGGGTTTTTAAAAATCTCTTTATTCTTTCTTTTTGTCTTTTTTTTTTTTTTTTGGTTTGTTTTAATTTTTTTTGTTTTTTTTTTCTTTTTTATCGGTACTAGAGATCAAACTCACGACCACACACTTGCGAGGCAGGTGCTTATGCCACTGAGCTAAATCCCCAGCCCCTTCTTTTTGTCTTTTTGAGACAGTTTCACTATTCAGTTCAGGCTGGCCTTAAACTCACAGCAGTCCTCCTGCTTCAGCCTCCCAGTGCTGGGATTACAGGCGTGTGCCACCACGCCTGGCTGTGGGCACTGCTTTTTATAACCTGGCTACAGCTGACCTCCTTCTCTGTTGCCTCAAAACATCTGAAATCATCAGGAACATTTGCTCTCCTGAGACTGACGCATGTCTGGCTTTAGAGACACCATGTCTACAGGTGGCTGTGTCCACTGGGACCCTTGGCTCACAGGTCCCTTGGACACCTCATTAGAGCACCAGACACCTGCAGATGGGGTGACTGGTACTTAGGACACATGACCACATAGTCTGTGGCAGTGTGTCCCTCATACGCGGGCACAGGCCAGGCACATGCTCACGCGCACACACATGCCCAGGGACTCTGGGTCCATGCAGACCCCAGCTCCGCACGCTGCCAGTCTTCTCCTCTTCCTGGCCTCCAGGAAGGGGTCCCATTCCTGGGTGTGCTTGGTCTTCCCTGCACTCAGCCCTTGCTATACTCCACTCACCCTGGGCCTCTTGTGTCCACTCTACAATGTCCAGGATGTGGGCATCCTGGGGGCCCCAAGCAGCCTCGCCAGCTGGGCCTGAGGCCACATGGCAGGGGTGGGGCCTGGCTAGGGCCCAAGTCGGCCTCGAGGCCTTGGCTGCCTCTAGACCACACAGATTGACTGCCAGAGTGCATGCAGGGAATAGGTGGAGTTCTCACAACCTCAGTGGGTACAACAGGCAGGACTCCCATCCACCTGCTGGTAATGCTGAGAGGGGACTCTCTGTACTCACATAGGACACTGGCTGCCCAGGAGCCCTGAGCTCAAACAGGTTCCTGACCACTGTCCCCTGTGTCCACCTTTCTGACCATGCCCCCTGTGTTCACTCCTCTTGCTTGCTATCCCGTGTACACAGACATGAGGTCCAGAGGGACAAGATCCTACTCACAATTCATAATTATGTCCTCACCATGGAACAGCAACTGTGGGTATATGTGTTAGTACTTGCTGTGTAACAGATGGCCCCACGATACAGCAGCTGACAGGAACTGCTTCCTCCCTCTGCTGCGATCGCTAGGAATCTGGCACCTTGTCTGCTGCAGGCTCCTTCTCCAGGCCAGCAGCAGACATAGCTCCATGAGCCACAGGTGAAGGAGGGCACCCTGCTGTGCTCCATGCCTCAGACAACCCTCAGTGTCCTTTTCCAGAAGGTGGATCCATGGGCATCATCGATGGCTGAGGCCGAGTCAGGGTAGAAAAGGTGGCCAGGTTGGGGATCATTCCTCGGGCGCAACGGTGGCAAAAACTGTGCCCCCCACACACATACAGGCTGGAGGTCCTCTACATGCAGCTGTTATGGGACTTTGCACAGGAGTCACAGGCGCAGACTGGGGTCCCCGATATCTGAGCCTAGGTTGTTTTCCTGCTCCTCCTGAGCAGCCAGGGGTGTGCTGTGCAACCCCAGTCCAGAGCAGGGGTCACAGATACGGAACAGAGGAATATGTGCAGGTGGAGTTGGCAGAGCCCCACACAGTGGCAACCACCCTAGATGCTGTGACCTGAGGCCAGGTCCCCAGGACTCTGTGGGATGCACTAGCTGTGCAGTATGGCTAGCCCTTGGCCCCAGGCACCCTCCTGGCTTCCTGTTCCTATTACAGATACCTTCATCAGAGGCCACAGAAGCAACATGCAGGCCAAGAGGGGAAAGAGGGGGGAGAGGGGAAGACCAGTGTCTCCTGTCATCTATGGACAGAGGGCTGCTCGTGTATGCCAGGCACGGCAGGGACTGCACGTGCCGTTCCCTCCTCATAGCCTGTGCTTCCATCCCGCTGCATGTGCCTGTACACATGCGCATGCATATGCATGCACTCTGCCTACCATCAGCCCTGCCTTTATAGGTCAGGCCAGTGCTCCTTGGTGCAGTCATGGAGCCAGTGGTGGTGCAGTGCTGTCCAAGGTGATGGGAGTAAGTTGCTGACAGAGGATGTCAGGGAGCCCAAAGTGGGACACCGTGAGGATGACCTACACACTGCAACCAAGCAGAAGGCTGGTGGAGCTGGGTTGCGGTTGTGGTTGGAGTCAGGGTTGGGATTAAGGTCAGCTGTAGGGTTAGAGTTGAGGCGTGAGGGTTTCAGCAATGGTTAAGCTGAGGGTCACAGTTAGGCATGAGGGCTCAGGTAAGGTCTCACACAGGAAATCTGCGGCCAGGGAGTGGCATGCTTAAGAATTAGGTTTGGGTTTAACATTTAGGGTTAGGGCTCCAGTCTGGTTTAAGCCCACATGGCGTGGGGTACAGAACATCATGTCAGCTTCTGAAGAGATAGGGGCTATTCTGCAGGCCCCCACAGAAAATGGAAACAAGGCAACAAAGCCCGCTGCAGAGCTCCTGCAGCTCCCTACACAATCCACACAGGGCCATTCCTCCTGCCAGCTCAACTTCCTAGCACAGGCGAATTCCTGCGACAGGAGACAAAATTTCCTTCCTCACTTACCAGTTTACCACACTACTTGGTCAGGACATTGGTTTATTTACTGTCCAGGATTCCCTTGGGTAGGTATCATTTCAACTAGTCCATTCTCACATCAATACATTTAATAAAATACTCATTTTCATATTACATTATAAAATCAAAAACATTGGCGATTTTTGGTCCTAATGTATTTAAATAATTGGAGTGGTTACAAAGAGCTGCTACAACTCAAAACAAAATACAAAGATGAGAGTGTGCCAAGAGCAAACTGGCAGCTAAGGGGGAAGGCACCATGCGGATGCCCCAGGCCGGCTTGAAGGAAATCAGCGCGATTTGCAGTAGCAATCATCTTCCCACTCACAAACTGCAAACAAGGAACCTCAAGGGCCAGGACGGAGGCACAGGATGGGGGCTGGACAGCAGGACACACTCATGACATGCACATGGTCCCATGCTTTCACAAAAGCAGATTCTACGCCCTGTGGACCAGCATAGCTCATTCCACAGATAAGGCAGAGCAGCTCTGCACCGGACCTCTCTTCCACAAAGCTGGAGTTAGGTGACACTTCTGAGGCTCTTTCTTGGCAGTGCTGGAGACCAAATCCAGAGCTTTATGCAGGCAGGGCAAGCACTCTACCCAAGCCACACCTCCAGAAAATAAGCCAGTGAAGGGGTGCACTAGATTTTGGTATTCTGGGAGACTGAGTTGGGAAGACCTTAACTTCAAGCCCAGCTTAGGCAGTTTAACAAGACTCTCAAAATCCAAAAAAGGGTTAGAGATGTAACTCAGCACAAAGGCCTCAGTTCCAGTCTCCAGTAGAGACAGGTGGGGAAAGGGACTCAACTCAGATGCAACTGAAACCTTTGGTAGCTTCGGGCCTGTAGAGCAGGCAGCTGCATCCCCTTGGTAGCTCCAAGGGGAACTGCTGGCAGCACCACCAAAGCGAAAGCCAAACTGTAGCTTGCACAACAGCTGCACAGCACACCTCAGGACAAGGCCCCAGCAGAGAGGGTCCATGTGCCCAAGCATCCTGTGCTCCAGGAGGGACTGACCTGGCTGCCGAGAACATTTGCTGTCTGTGTAAGTCTGCAACCACAGCTGTGCCCATAACTTGAGGATGGGGCATAGGGCCTCTACAATGAGTCTCTCCAGCTCTGCCCGACAGTAGGGTGTCGGCCTCCAATGTACCAGCCTCCCAGAGCACTGGGATTACAGGTATGTGGCATGACACCCTTGGCAGTGCCCCTAAGAAGGCAGCAGGACTGCTGGGCATCCAGGACTTGCTCTGGGCCACATGACCCTTGCTGCAGGTCTCACATAGACCTGCAGGCTCAGCCTGGTCAGGGCACCTCCCAGGGGTCTGGAAGCAATGCCAACAGGAATCTGAGTTGACTCTCCCTCCTGTCAGGGCTCCACACTCTGGGTCCCTGGCTGGCACAGCCTTTAGTCCCAGAGAGTACAGCTCACATCAGCCAGCAGGGCACTGTATCAACCCCACAGAAGCACAGGGAAGGTAGCTCTCACACCCAACGTGGCAGGGATTCCAATGCATGAAGATGAATGTAGGAGCCAAGCCTGGCCCTGCTGCTGTCCTGTGCGGGCAGATGACAGCTTGGACCACAGGTTGTACAGCACTGTGTCCAGGTCCCCAAGACCACTGCCAGGCTTCACCAGGCCTTCTAGCTTCCTGTGGGCACAGAATTGACCTATGGCAGCTCTGGATTATTTCCTCTCCATAGGGCCCTTCCCAAAGCAGGCCCCACTCTATCCCAGCTCTGCATTGCAAGGAGCTACTGGGCTGGTGCTGCACGGCCCGCCCTTGCTCAACCCAGCACTCAGGAGGGGCCTGCATGTCCTCTCCAACTATGGAACATCCAGAGTGTGTGGCTCAGCAAGTATCCCAGGCGACAGCCAGGTCTGGGTCAGGTACAAAAGGAGGCTCATCACCTAGGACACAAGATTCAGACCCAAAAGCTTGTTATCCATCACCCTGGGCGTCACCTGACTGTGGAGCAGGAACAGCCCTGTACACAGCAGGCCCCAGGTGCACACTGGGATAAAAACTGCTGAGGCCGGAGAGCCCCAATCAGTGGCAGTGCACCTAACACAGGCAAGGGTCCAGGTTTGGCCACCAGTGCTAACTTAAGAGTGACTCTCCTTAACAGTAATGGCTCCCACCCCCAGCACCTCCTGAAAAGCTAAAGCCCTCTTTAGCCATGGCATGTCACCAACAGCCCTCACACCCACACAGGCCTGACCACGCTTCCAAACTGGAGTCCAGCCAGCTGGCCTGAGCCACGCACGCAAGCCACTGAGAGGCAGGGCCCAGGTGCTTTTATATAGCTATAGCTTTTCTGAGCATTTATTACAAGACCCCAGCAGTGCTTTATTTTTTCTTCTCAACATCCTGCTCTGCAGCTTCTTTGGCCCTCTTTGCCCGGATGCCAAAGAGACGGGCATTGGCACGGGCCATGCGCAGACTAGCAAATGCCTTGAAGTTCTTTTCCTCCTCTGTGATGACTCTGGCCTTCTCCTTCTTGTAGACCTAGGAGGGAAGACAGGAGTCAAGCAACGCCCACAAAGCTTTTTTTTTTGGTACAGGGATCAAACTCAAGACTGTGTGCTTGCCAGGTAGGCACTTATACAGCTGAGCTAAATGCCCAAGCCATGCCCACAGAATGCAGGTCTCAGATGCTCAATGCTTCTGGGGTGTCACTAGAGCTGCCCCTATAACACTGGCTTCCTCTTTTATGTACATAATCACACACAAAAATTACACTTAGAGGGGGCTGGGGATTTAGCTCAGCGGCATAAGCGCCTGCCTTGCAAGCAGGCAGTCAATCATGAGTTTGATCCCCGGTACCGATAAAAAGGAAAAAGACAAAAAAAAAAATTACACTTAGAAAAATATTATGGAGGAAGATGTTAAAAGAATGGAGATTTATTATGTACAGGAACCAACTTCCCAGTGTCAAAAGGAGAAACTGCAAATGTATTTAACAATTATATTTATTTATTCTTTTTCTTTTTTATCGGTACCGGGGATCGAACTCACAACTGCCTGCTTGCAAGGCAGGCACCTATGCTGCTGAGCTAAATCCCCAGCCCCTAACAATTATATTTAAAATTCATTTTTATTTGAGACAAGCCCTTGCTGTGTAATTCCAGCTGGCCTTGAACTCACAGTCCAGCTGGCCTTGAACTCACAGCCACAGAGATCCTCCTCAGTCTCCTGAGTGCCAGAGTTATAAGCATGTGCCACCACAACTAATTTTAAAGATTTAAAGAAGCCCAGTGTGATGACACACATCTGTAACCCAGCACCCAGGAGGTTAAGGCAAGAGGGTAACTACCATTCAAAGTCAGCCTGAACTCCCCAGTGAAAGCCTGTTATCTACTACTTCTGCCTTGGTCACAGCCACCCTTCTCCAAAGAACATGTGTACAGGGGGCACCAAGAGAAGACAGGTGTTGCTGTGGGACACAAGGCTGAATCACCCTCTGGTTTTCAACTGCTTCCTGGGCAGGCCACAGGGTTGTCTGCAGCCAGATCTTTAAAATAATGGCATACAACAGAACAGAACAACAAACGTAAGTCGCCACAATTTCTGAAAAAAGGAAGCAGGCTATCCTCAGCCCATCTGTTAAGTATTCAGGGACACTTTCCAAGGTTAAAACGTCCTTGCGTTCCACAACCTACACCATCAGACTAAAAAGGTCTGTAATACCCACATGTGTACTACGCGTAATTTAAGCATCCCTGCCTGCATAGACACCATCGCATACTTACGTTCCTGATGGGCATCACAGGTCCTGTCAGCTGGGTTGCCAATTTGAGTTCTTCAGCCTGTGTGTTAACAGGGAGAATACAGTGAGCTGGGCTTCACCCTCCAGAGCACCCTTGGGTGTCACCCAGAGGCAAGGCTGGGTGCCCTGCACCACTGACACACCCATGGCAAGTCCTGTGGTTCTTGGATGCGCATTACCACAGTCCTATTGTCTTGCTATCAAACAGGGAAAGGCAGATGCTTTTCTTGTAGGCAAAGGGTCCCCTAATGATAACCAAAGCCACTCCTGACCCAACCTGCAGAAAGCCCAGGTGGGAGCAGCCTGTCTTCCAGCAGTCTCTGACACAAAACCTCTCAGCAGGGCTCCGCAGCTCTCGCAAAGCAGAGCCAATGGCTAACACTTATTCTTTGGGAGGGGAAAAGCCCTCCTGCCCATAAGAACCAGGGTGTGCAAAACCAGAGCTACAGAAAGCATTTTCCACCCGCGGGATGGGGGTGAGGCAGCCTCCCGGTGGGCAAAGCTCGCTGCACTTACAGAGCTGTCTCCCTTCTTGGGGGCAGATGGCTTCCTGGGGAAGAGGATGAGTTTGGAGCGGTACTCTTTCAGCCGCTGCACATTGGCCTGCAGGGACTCGGTCGATTTGTTCCTCCTCCTCGGATCCACCGAGATGCCAATGGTCCGGGCCACCTTCTTGTGAATACCAGCCACCTGCCCAAGGCAGTCACGGATGAAGCCCAGGGAGCCCCTCCCGCACAGGCCCCAATGCACCACTCAGTGGTCAGATGGAAAAGGGTTCAAAAGTGCTTTCATCAAAGTAGTACAGCGATTCCGGAGAATTGTCATCATTTCACTGAGGCCCACAGCCCCGCGGCCTCCACCGGAGGGGCCCGGCCCACACTCACCCGAAGCTCCTCCAGACTGAAGCCCCTGCCAGCTCGGACTTTGGTGTGGTACCGCACCGTGGGACAGCGCACAATGGGCCGGATGGGTCCGGACGCGGGGCGAGGGGCGATGCGGCGCGCTTTTGCCTGGCGGGCCTTCCGCCTGATCAGAGAGAAGCCGGGCGGTCAGCTGATCCCCACCCCGCGGCGCGCCCTACCCACCCGGACGCTCCTCCGCTCTCCGCACACCTGCGGATCTTCCGAGCTGGCTGATTGAACCACGTAGCCACGCGCCGCTGCCAGTCCTTGTGGAAGTGGGGCTTCAGAATCATGCCATTTCGGCTGGGCGCCATGGCTGCCTACGGTCGCGGGGGAGAGGAGTGAGGGCGCGCGTCCCGGGCCACTGCCCCAAGCCCGCCCACCAGGCCGAGGCCAGGCGCCGTCTACTGTAGAGAAGAGGATCCTCCATGGCCGCGTGGGTGGCACCGCGAGGCCGATGGTGTCGGATGAAGCCCGATAGCAATAGAGCCGCACACTCACCTCTTAGGCCGCGGACTTGCTGAACGGAAAAGAACAGCGTCCCAAGGCACCCTGGGGTAGTAGAAAATCTAACCAATCAAGAGCGCCATAGCGCTCTGACCAATCGGATCCAGGAAGGGCGGAAATGACCCTCCACGACCACACCGCTCCCGACTGCTCTTGCGCACTGACAGATTTGTTATCCGCAGTGCAGTCTGGCTCCTCCTGCGGCAGTGGTCACGTGCCTGCGTCTGTCCGAGTCTCCCGCGGCCGATTAGCACAGCTGGTCTAGGGCACAGAAACACTGGTGGGCCAGAGTGCTAGGGAGTTTTGTTGCTGGGACGCAGGCTATTAACGGGTATAAAGGCTTCAAGACTTGAAGTTAGCGTTCCAAAACCTTCGTTTTAAACCTCGGTCCAGTGTTTATTCCCTGCCATACACTCGAACATTCATGCGTCTCTGTTTAAGTAAAGCTAAGTTTTACCCGGGCGCAGTGGTGCACGCCTGTAATCCTAGCTGCTTGGGATTCGGTGGGGCCCTCCCAAAGGAATGTGGTGAGGACCTTCTCAGGACAAAGGAAGCCAAGGAACACTGTTCCTCTGTGCTGTGCAGGTAACCTGAACTGTACGCAATCAGGCTGTAGGATGTTACCCTGTTACTGTATGAGGGAGACAAAACGTGTAAAGGGTGAAATCGCAAGGCGCGGGGCTCCGCCTTTTGTGTATTAGCCCACTAAGCCTGTGCTGGCAGAAATGAGGTTGCTTCCTAGAAAGAAAAGCCTCAATGTCCCAACTCCGTGCGAGGCAAAGATGGTGTTTCACCTTCTGGCGCCAAGGTGCAGACCCGGGGACACTGGGAGAGGCACGCTCACCCAGTGAGGGGAGTGACATCTGCCAGACAGATAACCAATTCGTTTTGGTAGACCTGTCCGTAGGAGACAGAAGAGGACCCTGATCACCCAAATAGTTGCATATGGTACGAAACTGCAACTTTAAGGTGCTGGGGTCTGGGCAGCGGTTTGGAATTCACGGTGTGACTGCGTGTGAATGGGAGAGAGTAGCACGGTTCCAACCTCACCGAAGGACTGAAGGGAAGGTTGAGTCCTGATCCGAGGTTCCCTGGGGACCTTCTACAGTTTAGGGTGGTGTCAGACTTCCGAAGTCTAATCCAGGTCGGGGCTTGATACCGAACCCACCAACACCTACAGGCCCCTGAAATATCTCCCAGAGGGCAGAGGCTGGAAACGGATGAAGCAGGTATGCAACTCCTCCAAATCAGCCCCTCCCTTCTCCCTTTTTCCTCTCTTGTGAGTTTTGTTAGTGGTGAGGAGATGGGTGGGAAACGGGCTTCCCCTAGTGTGTATGTTGAGGAATTTCAAAAAGAGATATTCCAGAACTGTGGTGTGATACTAACTTCTGGAAAGCTTTAGACATTGTGTGAAATCGATTGGCAGTTGTTGGGATGGGTGGCCCTTTGAGGGCTCACCTGATAAGGAACTCCTTAGCTGAGTGTTCCGGGTTGTGTGGGGAATCCAGGGCACCCGGGCCAATTTCCTTATATTGACTGTTGTTAAGACCTGGCCCTGTCCCAACCACATTGGCTAAAAATCTATATTGAAATGATGACTTGAATCACAGCTGCTTTCAAATGCTGAGCGAAAACTGAAAAACCCATACTGTTGGGAGAGTTTGAGGAGACCCCACCACCACGTGCCCCGATGTATCCCTCACAGCCACCTGAACCTCCAGCTGCGCTGATCCCAAGACCCACTGAGCCTGCCCCTAGTCCTGAGGCTACTGTGCCTGGACAACAGGTCCTAACCCCACCCCACCCCCAGCAACTAGAGAATCCCTCCCTCCCAGTAACACCACCAGGGAGCCCTACAGATGCCACTGAGGGAAACTAAGGGACCCATCTATTATTAATTTTTTTTTTTTTTTTTTTTTTTTTTTTTGGTACTGGGGATTGAACTCACAATTGTGTGCTTGCAAAGCAGGCACTTATGCTGCTGAGCTAAATCCCCAGCCTGGGGCCCATCTATTATTAACCTTGGGTCCCACAGGCCAGATCTGAGGAAGGACCAGTGTGATTTTATATGCCAACCTTTTCCACTATGGACCTCCTAAATTGGAAGCACCATATTCCCTCCTACGTAGAGAAGTCCTAGGCTCTGACTGAACTGGTGGAGTCCATAATTCAAACCCATAAATCTATGTAGACAGGCTGTTGGCAACTCCTCTTAACCCTCTTTAACATGGAGGAGCATTGCTGAGTTATCCAGGCACTCCTAAGTTAGAGAATGCCCCAGCTGGGATGGTAGACACCCAGTCTTACGCTTAGGCTTACTTCCCTGGAAAGGACCCCAAGTGAGACCCAAATGACTCAAGTTTAGATGGGCTCACAAGGACCAAACAGTATCATGAACCCCTTCTAAATGGCATGAAGGAGGTGCAGGTTGGGGAAAAATGCCATAAATATGAGTAAAACATCGGAAGTGCCCCCAGGATCCGAGAAAAGCCGAGCTGATCCTCAGAGACTTGATCCAGAGGCACCTGTCAGCCAGTGATGAATATGGCTTTCATAGGTCAGGCCCAAGGGGACATCTGGCACAAGCTGCAAAGCTAGAGGGTTTTGTCAGTATGTCTGGCAGTCAATGGAACAAAGGTGTTTGTCAGCCATGACCACGCGGCTCTGCCCCATCCCTATGGGAACCTTTCCAGGAGTGTTCATGTCTTCGTGGAGTGGTTGGAACACTCACAGCAGAGCTCCAATGAGGAAAAAGAGGTCATGTGGCTCTGGACTGGTACCAACCAGAGTCACAGCCTTATGGGGCTCCTGCAGGTGATTCTGTGGGGCTCTCATGGAGGACTGGGATTCTTATGCATAGTCCAAGCAGGATGCAAGTGCCCAGAATAACCTAAGACCACTTCTGGAGTACAGAATGTCAGGGGAGCCTCACTTTAAACTGTGGTTATGTACTTGATGCAAGCAGGACAAAAGCCATCTTGTGTTTCTGTCTGGTTCTAAACTTAGTCTCTGAGGCTAAGCTACCTTGTGATAACCACCCAGGCAATGTGCTTGTGTAATTTGTGTGGTGACCATACGGCCTGACCTGAATGCCAAAAAACTTATATTGTGAACCCTTGTAAGAAAAACGTTTTCTAAAAAAATCTTCTTTTTTATACCGGAAATTGAACTCAGGACCTTGTGCTTGCCAGGCAGGCACTGTGCCACTAAGCCATATCGAAAAAAATCTTTTTTTTTTTTTTTTCAGATAGGGTCTTGCTATGCAGTTCAGGCTGGCCTTGAGCTCACTTTGTAGCCCAGGCAGGTTTCGAACTTACAACAATCCTCCTAACCTCAGCCTCCTGAGTGCTGGGATTACAGGCATGAGTCACCACGCCCAGCAAAAAAATCTTTTTTTTTTTTTTTATCGGTACCGGGGATCGAACTCATGACTGCCTGCTTGCAAGGCAGGCGCTTATGCCACTGAGCTAAATCCCCAGCCCCCCAAAAAATCTTTTTAACATAAAGAAAAATATATTTCTACCACCATAGGATGAACACATGTTATTTGTACATCATTATAAGATGAGCACACACAGGGTTGGGGTTTAGCTCAGTGGCATGCCTGCTTGGCAAACTTGAGGTCATGAGTTTGATTCCTGGCACCAAAAAAAAAAAAAAAAAAAAAAAAGGTGAGCACACGTTGTGAGTACCAAACTCCCCACAGCATGAAGGAGAGCTCTCCATCCATTCTTTGGCTCAGTTTTCTGGCTCACTGCTTGTGGACTCTGCACCTGGTACTGTTCTTTGCAGAGGTGCCACTCACGTTCTGTGACTGTCTGTTACCGTCACCCCAGGTCCCCACCTGGCACCCTGGCCATACTGGTCTCCGCTCATCCTGAGTCTGGTGCTCAATCTCCAGATCCAGATCGCCAGGAGTCCCATGCACAGTCTCCAATTGCCGAGGTCCTGTGCTGCCCATCAGGCTCCGTGGTCTCCTGGTGTGCCAGCCAGGAGAGCCTACACCATCAGTGCCTCCACAGCTTCCAGCTTATGTCACGGTGAGGTCCTCTCTGTCTTGCTGTGAATGCAATCAATGCTCCTCAAACCGTTGCACTCTGGGTTACTCCACTTTTGGAACCTCTGGCAGATGCACTGATTGCCTTTGGCTCCTCCAAGCCTCAAGGGGCCTAACTCAGGGGATCTTTTGGCCCCATGTCCATTCTCCACAGGACTTTGCTACACCTCCTTGGGTCTGAGGCTGTAAATATCTGCTAGTCTTTGTGTGCACTTTCTCAGGCTGGGTAGACTCTCCCTATTTGCACAGAAAAGGCACACGAAGTGGCCTTATTTCCTAAAGAAATCATTCCCCAGTTTGGGATCTCTGTCACTATGGGGTCACGGAACGGCTGGCTGAGGTGGTGCAGTGGTGGCAAAGCCTGACGATCACCGGGAAGCACTCAACCCTAGAGTAGTAGTAAAGTGGAGGAATGACCCAAACCCTGAAGCTTCAGCTAAACAAACTATTATCGGGAACCCCATCTACACTGGGATCAAGTATTACCAATCACTGTAAGAATCAGGTGTAGGGGGCTGGGAATTTAACTCAGTGGTTGAAGCACTTGCTTGGTAAGTGCAAGGTAGTGAGCTCAATCCCATTACCAAAAAAGGAAGCATCAGGTATAGGGCTGGGGATGTAGCTCAGTGACACAGCAAGTACAAGGTGCTTAGCGAGTACAAGGTCCTGAGTTCAATTTCTCGTACCAAAACAATTAATTATAGCTGAGCGTGGTGCCACACACCTGTAATCCCAGCACTTGGGAGGCTGGGGCAGGAGGATTGCTGTGAGTTCCAGGCCTGCCTGGGTTACAAAGTGAGTTCAAGGCCAGTCTGAATCATACAGTGAAACCACTGTCAAAAAAGACCCCAAAAAATCCAAAACAAAAAAGTAAATTCTTTATTCACCTGCCTCTAGTATCAAGGGCCTAAGGGAAATCAAAAGATATGGGCAGTTTAACCCGTAAGTAAGGGCTGGGGATTTAAGCATAAGCTCCTGCCTTGCGAGTGAGGAGTCGTGAGTTTGATCCCCAGTACAAAAAAAAAAAAAAAATTTAAATACCAGATGTGGGCCGTCGGCTCTACCTTAATCACATCATGCCATTGGGCGAGGGAGTGGCCACCTCTAAGGCTGACCACAGTGACGACAGACACTGACCCCTTTACACCAGGTGATGCTGTGTGGGTGAAGACATGGAATGTCCCATGCCTGAGCCCCTCTAGAGGGCCTGTTTATTTTGCCCACACTCACTGCAGTAAAGGTAGCTGACGTGAGTCCCTGGATTCACCACACACAGGGAAGCCAGCTCCTCAAGACTGGGAGAGCATTCCTGGGCCACATAAGCTGATGGTAGGAAAAAGCTGGCCACAGCATCAAAGTCACCGTCAGGAGCCAGCAGCCCTGCTCCAGTCATTCCAGAGGCTGGCTAGTAGGTGCTCGGTGGGAGCCTGAGGACGCCACCTGCTGGCAACAGGAGGAGATGGCATCCCTTTCTGTGACTGGCCCATCTGGTATGCATTGCTGTTTCTTGTTCTTAACTGTACTCAGGTTCCCTAGTCCTGATTTTTGCTGTAGCCCCTGCTAAGACTGCCCCAGCTCTCTGGAAAAGTGCAAGGTACTTGCTAGCTCTCACTTTTCTCTTCTGGATAGGGTGTTTTGCTGGTACTGGCTGGTTTTTGTTTTTTGTTTTTTTGTCTTTTTCAGACAGGGTCTCGCTATGCAATGAAGGCAGGCCTTGATCTCATTTTGTAGCGTAGACCATCTCAAACTCACAATGCTCCTCCTGCCTCAGCCTCCAGAATGCTGGAATTACAGGCGTGCACCACCATGGTGGCTGTTTTTTAGTAGAGGCCCATTGGTAAACCTGAGCGTCTCGTCATGCGACCCATGTATTTCCATAACCAGGTCAGGCCAGGGAATTACTTGGACTTTACCACACTCAGTTTTCATGCCAAGGGAAGGTTCAGGGAGTTTGCACACATAATAATACAACCTATCTTCCAACAGGGGAGTTGGTGCTCTTGTTCTGATCCACAATACTCCCCCGGAAGGAATGGGTAGAAGTCTGACAATCCAAAGAAAGGGGGTGCCTGAGCATTCGAACTGAGATTACTGATCCCACACAACCACTGTCAATACTTGTAGCAGGTTTACAAGGGAACAGGTTTAGTATAGGTCACACAACTTATAGGG